CACACACACACACACACACACACACACACACACACACACACACACACACACTATAGAAATATACTGTAATCTGCCTCAGATGTAGTAACGCCTGCACGTGGGGAATCGCAGGACCAGTAATCTGACCCGCTACATGCCACAACAAAATCATCATCATCGTCACACAGTGCGAGGGCGGAGCTACTAAAAGGGTTAGGAAGAGTGTTCCGGATCGGTATCCACGACATGTCTTCTTCTTCCTCCCTTTCGTGTGTCCTCTTTCCTCGTCGTCCGTGTCTGATTGGAACATGGAGCTTCTTCAGAATGTGAAAGCGCCATGTCGCCGCTCACCGTCTGTGATGATGATGGTGATGATGTCCACAATGGGTGGCTCGATAATTGGGTCTGAATATTGGCTTTTTCGTTTGTCAAAGGTCAGTTCTTGGGTCAAAGGTCGTGCTTTCCTCGCTACATATGGCAAAGGTCGGTCCTTGGGTAATGCGTGCACTGTTTAGGTATTCGAGAGTGTGTGTGTGTGTGTGTGTCGAATGCCATATCATACCGTCCATCAAGCAAATAAAAATCCAATCATTTGAACGAGAAAAAAAAACGATGATGACAACCAATGAATAAAACTAACAAACAAACAGTCGGTCAATCAATCTTTCAATCAATAAATCAATCAATAAATCAATCAATAAGTCAATCAGTAGTGCGAATGAAGTTATGACTCCATCGTTCAGTCGATCAATCAATCAATCTATCAATCATTCAATCGAACAACCCATTTTGTGGAAGTGTGAAAATCTGGGATGACGATATATTGCAAGAAATGAGACGTCTTTCATTTTCAATGCCCTGACACGAAAAAAAAATTAAAAAGGGATCACCGCAATAAAAGATCGGCAACCCTATATACAACCAATCGTACAAGCAGTCTGGGCCTGGTCGTAGATGTTGGTCGTTTCAGTACGTATAAAGACGGCATATTAAGTTTTGTATACTACGAACAGGTACGGAGTTGAAGATAGCAACCACCCCGCCCCCAAAAAAAAAGCAAAAAATAGGGAAAAAAAAGGTCGATTGACAGGGGGAAAAAAAAAAAAAAAAAAAAAAAAAAACATTGTCGGACGGAATAAAAAAACGGGTAAGTCGCGATGGAAATTGGTGTGCCTTATTCTGTTCCATTTTCTCTGCGACTTTTTGTTCCCTCCTTGGGGTATTTCGTTTTACGGACGTAGTGTATGGTTCCGTTTTTTTTTTTTTTTGAAGTGTTGGTTGTGGTGGAATTTTTGCTGTTTTTCGTAGTCCTCGTCTGCATCCCGGTTGGTTTTGTCTCGTTGTTCGGTCCACGTGGCAGTGTTTTCATGTGGGTTGTTCGGTCCACGTGGCGGTGGTTTTATGTTTGACTGGTTCATCATTTGTTTTTTTTTTTGGCATCCTAGTTGGCTGGTTCCCGTTGTTTGGCATTTTGATGGGAGGCGATTCTTTTAGGTCGGATATGTCATCTAGGATTGTCTTTATATACTTCTACTTGCAGTCAAGGGTGTTGATAGCTATCCTCAGTATCCTGGTTGGTGATTGTCCCTTCGTGTGGGCTGATGATGTGGGGGGAGGCCTGGGGGGGTGCCTTGCATGTGGGACTTGGCATCTAGGATTTGTTATATTTGTTTTTCGGGACCCTTGTCTGATGTATATAGATATGTATTTCAGATGTTTTTTTTTTGTTTTTGCAGGCAAGAATGTTTTCATGTCCTGGTTGGTCTTGTCCCCTTCAAGTTCTTTGGCCTGTGAAGTTGGGGGCGGTGGGGGTGCCTTGCATGTGGGACTTGTCATCTAGGATTTGTTATATTTGTTTTTCGGGACCCTTGTCTGATGTATATAGATATGTATTTCAGATGTTTTTTTTTTGTTTTTGCAGGCAAGAGTGTTTTCATGTCCTGGTTGGTCTTGTCCCCTTCAAGTTGTTTGGCCTGTGAAGTTGGGGGCGGTGCTTACATGTGGGGCTTGTCATCCAGGATGTTGTTGCCCCGTGTTTTGTTATTCATATCAGTTAGGGGATTCTGCACTCTATTGAGGGTTCAACCTCCTGATGAGTCGGTGAAACTCTGAGGAAACACTTTTCCACAACCCCTCGTTTGTTGTCCTCTTCTCCCTCTCTGCCTACGGTTTACCGGGTAGCTCTGTTTGACTATATATATCACGACTTCGCTAGCAACCTGCTACGGTATTCTCCGGTGAGGTCGAACGGCAGTGGTCGGGGCCGTCACTACGCGGCCATGCTGTGCCTCTAGTGCCAGCGGCGTGTCTGGAGTGTATTTTTTGGCTGTGACAGACCTTTCATTGTTTTGT